CTCTGTGATGGACTGACACCTGTCCAGGTGTCCCTGTGATGGACTGAGACCTGTCCAGGTGTCCCTGTGATGGACTGAGACCTGTTCAGGTGTCCCCGTGATGGCCTGAGACCTGTCCAGGTGTCCCTGTGATGGACTGAGACCTGTCCAGGTGTCCCCGTGTCCCTGTGATGGACTGTAGACCTGTCCAGGTGTGCCTGTTATGTACTAGAGACCTGTCCAGGTGTCCCCGTGATGGACTGAGACATGTCCAGGTGTCCCTGTGATGGACTGAGACCTGTCCAGGTGTCCCCGTGTCCCTGTGATGGACTGTAGACCTGTCCTGGGTGTCGCCCGCCTGTCACAAAGTGATGGCTGGACATGAACACCAGTGACCCCCGCAACCAGAAAAAAAAGTGGGTAAAGATAATGGATGATTGTCTTTAACAGAAAAAGGAAAAAATAACGTTCGTCCATTGATGGATGTTATTTTTCCTTTTTATTTCATTTTTTGTTACATATCCCGCCTTCGCACCCAGAATAAGGTCGCTGAATGGCTAGTTGTTTGCTGTCACTCACAGCCCTGTTGCTAGGTAACGCTCGGCTCCTCCCCCTGAGTGGAGTCGGTACAGTGACTTTGAACGCAGCTGCGGGAGGTTTTCTTTTAACCCATCGAGAGACAAAAAAGATTTACTGTGAGAAGAAAGATGTCACATCACAGAGAAGGTAAGAGTCAACTGCAACTGAGCCCTTACAGTTTATTACGAATAAGTAACCGTTTGTTTTCTCAATGTTTGGATAAAGATTTAGCGTGAAATGAAATAAAGTTTACGTCCCATTCTTTAGGGATGACAGCCGTTAGCTTAGCTGTTAGCTAACCTGACAAAAGTTACTTTTTATTTGTTTATTCTAATAGATCCGTCATACTTAGTTCTAATGCATATGTAACTTACCAATTTAATAATTAACGTTAAAGTTTAAGTTTTATGAACTTTAAATGAGCTTTATTTAAAATTAGCATGTTAGCTAACATTGCTATATCCAGAAATAAACACAAATTTCTAAATAAAGTGAAATGAGAAGTTGCTGTAAACTTTTATTTAGTCAAATATGAGGTGAGAAATTAAAAAAAACTATTTTAGATTAATTTTAAAGACGAAAAATTAAAATCAACTTCTTAATGTGTTTATGTTTTGAACAGTTGTGGATATTATAGAAGTTGATCCTATACATATATATATATATATATATAATAAAAATTTTTATTAATTTATAAATTTATATAAGATAAGTACATATATGCA